AAGTAGAGCCCCAGAGCATACTTCTAGTCACTGTTGTGGCCCTAGTATGAAAAACAGCACATAGCAGGTAGCAATAAATATTCATCAAATGAGTCACCTATCCCAACACAATGTCACTCTTCCCTATCTAATTTTGATTATAGATTAAAAAAAGACATAAAACTTACTCTCTTAAGCAGGAAGAATACTTTTCCCTTTTGCCTTTTTTATTTTATGGTGTTTGTCTGCACATATCTATGTTGGTGCACCATTTGAGTTCCCGGTGTCCCCAGAGGCCAGAAGAGGGCATCATGTCCTTTAGAATTGTTGTTTGTGGGTACTATGAATAGAGCCTGGGTCCTCTTCAAGAGCAACAAGTGGTCTTAATCACTGAGCCACCGCTCCGGCCTCCTTTTTAATCTTTAGTACTCAAGCAATAGACCTAAGGAAGAAAAGACTGTCCACTTATTTTTTTAGGAAGAACATTTGTGAAACTGCGAAAGGAGATTCCCAAACAACTGAATACAAAGTCTTATATGACCAGGTTAGAGACACAGCTCTGTGGTACAGTGCTTGACTAACACGAGTGAGGACATGAGACTTATGCCCAGCATTGAAGGATTTAAAAAACGCAAAAAAAGCACATATAAAAAAGATTATTCATGACTAAGTGTCGGTCTCTAACAGCTACTCCTCCCTACGGCTCCCCTCCTCTGAGAGGTAGGCACATATCCTCTGTTCACAGGCTGCGGCCTCAGTTTAAGCACTAAGGAAATGGCTTAGTCAGTGAAAATGCTTCTGTGAGTGTATCAGTTCTATTTGCGAAGAGTCCCTACAGAAATTCCAGGTGGGTATGCTTGCAACCCCAGTGCTGGGAAGTGCTGGAAGAAACAGTAAGAACCCTGGGGCTGCCTGGCCAGCCAACCTTGCTGGCCTGGCAAACCCCAGGCCAAACAGAGAACCTTTCTCAGATAACAGGGTGAACCGTAAATGTGTCTGAAGAACATCTGAGGTTGTCCTCTGATCTCCATATGCATGTGTATACACATGTGCCCAGATGAAGGCACATACACACACACACAAACACACACACACATGCACCCACACACAGACACAGCTGAGGCTCATTTTTTTCAAGTCCAGAATGTTCTCTCTCTTTTTTAAAGTCTGCTTTTTCTCTTTGTGTATGTATCTCTTCTGTTCTAACCCTCCCCGATGCCAAGGTATCCTAAGTGGAAAAAGACATCTTCAGGCTGGCATTTAATGCTGATTTAAAAATCAGAAAGTATGAACAACAGAGGAACCATTCAAATGTTGCTGATGATTGAGAATTTGTGAAGCAGGACATTATTAAATTTTTTATACAAGTGGTATATTAAAAAGCGACTCAAAGACGGTTCCCTGCTGAGTCAATCCTGCCCCAAAGATACAGCACAGCTTCCTGGTGGCTTGCTGGCCAGCCAGCCTAGCTTGCTTGGAGAGTTCCAGGCCAGGGACAGACCCCTATCTTGGGGGGAGGGGAGGAGTAGATGGTGCATGAAGAACATCATTCTGGTCTCCAAACACATGTGTATATACACACAGATACAAGTACACACATATGTACCCACCCATCTACATACACACAGGCCAATACAGAAGTATTCATTCAAAATGGGGACAGTTCTCAAAACCTGGCAGAGCCGATCTGTGATTGTAAAAGTCTTCACTTCTGGTCAATGTACAGGTTGCCGCTGTCACTGAAAATGATCACTTGTCAGTTTAAAGGTTCTTAACCCAGCCAGCTTAAACAGCTCCTTCCCGAGTAAGCAGATTGTGGACAATAAATTCATTTTCACGTTTTTACTTTGTATGTGATACTGTGCTCACAACATTGTCTACACTGGTGACTCACAATTCAAGGCAACTAGACAAGGAGTCACCAAATACTACCTTTGGCCCAGGTACTGTAGGTACAGTCTGAATTTTCTAGACACCAGTTCCACACCCATGGGTTCTATCAATCAAGGACTGATAATTTTCAGAAAGAACAAAAATAATGAAAAAGAGTAATAAACTATAATACAGAGGACAGTGTGATAGCTTAGTGGGCAAGAGCACTTACTGCTAAGCAAGAGTACCTAAGGTCAAGTTCCGTGACCCATGGGGTAGGAGAGAACCAAATCCCATAGTTCCCACCTCCACATGCTTGCTGTGACACATGCGTGCACACACATATGTGCCCACACAAAGACTTTAAAAAGTAATTTGACAAATAAACATACCTACATTGTATTCTCCCACAGCACAGTATCTACGCTGTATTTAGTTTTATGACATAGTGATGATTTAAGGTAATTGCACGGCTTATAAACTAGTACTGTCTCATCTTACAAAGGGACTTTGTGAGAAACAAGAACCACACTATGCAATAACGAATTTGAGAGATTAGACAGTGAAGCAGTTTTAAATTTGCCATTCTGCAGGCAGAGTTGCCAGCACCAAGAAAAGGCAAATATGGCTGGTGTGCTGATTTGGTGCAAGTTAATAGTTTTTACAGATGTTCCTGCCGTCCTTTTCCCACAGTAGTACTCCAGCGTAGCTGCCTTCCCATCACCATCCTACTGGTTCAGAATCCAAGGCCTTATCTAGTGAATGTTCCAGGGCTTGAGGCTACTACCTTTTCAGAGCATGGGCTCAGTCACATAGAAGACTGCCTGCAACTTTCCAGTTCTCAAGAGTTCTCAGACAAGCAGGTGCCAGCTGCCAGCTAACAGAGAGAGGCCCAGTGCCCCCTCCCCTACTTCTCTGCGACTCCCTGATGAGCTCTAACTGCACCTCATACTGAAAATGGACCATAACAATTTATTTCTTAAAGACATAATCTTTTATAGAATTTGGTAAATGAAGGGGTCCTGAACCAATACTTCTGAGTACACCAAGGGAAGACTTACAGGTAAAATACAGTCCTGTCTTAAGCTTACTCTCCAGTGGGGACATATGACATGCAAACTTAACTTCACTGGAACTGGATTCATCTATCCACATGGTATCTATGCAAAAGGAGCAGTTGCTTTTTGAAGATGCTATCTGAAATGAATCACTCAGAAGAGTACCATGTTAATTAAACCCCTGGTGAGTAGAGGTATATAATTAAGTCAGAGCAGTAAGCTGGGGACAAAAACCCAGGGAACCACTAGAGTCTAAGTACAGCAGGCAACCGGGGACACATTTCCTGAGTAGAATCAGCAAAGTGATCGGGACGAGGGATGAGACTGCTGAGTGTAAAGCCGGCCACGCCAAATGCAGGTGAAAGGTGAAGACCTATGGCAGTGTTGCACAGAACGGACGAGCAGCCAGAGTCGCCAGCAGCTCCAAGGGAGCATGTCAGTGGGGAGGTGGAGGCAGCACAAGCTAGACCAAAGTAAGGTGCTGAGTGGCCAGGGTGAGAGTCAGTGAACACGGAACGGAGCTTGGCCAAAGGGAGAAGAACAACAGGCCAGTGGCTAAAGGGTGATGACATTTAACTGTTTTTGTCTTAACTTCCTTCCCACCCCACAGTGCTCCCAGAGGGACAGATATCCATCGGGACCATAAAACTCCACTATGCCGAAAGCTAAGGACAAGGCTCATGTCTGAGCACCCCTTCCCCCCCCCAACCTGTTCTCTGTCCAGGGCGCAGGCCAGGGAGCTACGGATGAAGAACCTATGAGCACAGGTAGAGATGAAGGGAGCTTCCACACATAGCTACTGATCTTTCTCTCCCTCATGAAAGTGTGGGGGTCTGAAACTCGGGGGCAGAGAAAAAGAAATCCTGACTTCCTTCTCAGTGACCCATCCAGGAGAGGCAACAGAGCTCAGTTTGGATCTTGACAACTGGGAAAAGGAGGTCCTCCTAAAATGTAAGAATTCCTTAACTCTCAGAAGCTCCTCAAGTCCTTGAGACTGATAGGTCTGTGCCAGCCAGATTCAGTGCTCCGGCTAAGTTCTGGTAACTTCTCTAACCTGCCCAGGCTTTGGTCTCTCATCGATGATTTCAAAGTCGCCATAATAGCATCTTCCTTACAGGCCTCTTAGAGGATCCCTGAGACACACCAGTGAAGTGTTTGTCATGGTGTTTGGCAAGGCTGCTTAAAATGTTAATAAAATAAAACGAAGTGCTGCTAATTTGAACAAATGTAAGTACTGAGGGGAACGAACCCCAGAGGAGTTGAGTATAAGTCAAACGATATTTTTTTTTTTAAAAAAAAAAATGTTTCTTAAAACGAGTCTCGAAAAACCAAAAAAAAAAACAAAAAACAAAAAACAAACCAAAACCAACCAAACAAAAACGCCTTAGAAAATACCTCGGGGAAACAAATAACCAGTTCCAACTTTGCAAATCCACATTTTCATCAGATTTACAGGAAGAAATATTTAAGTTACTCCTCTCTAGTGGACTTTTCCAATTAAGACAGTTAACCTCCCTTAACTGGGGGTGGGGGTGGGCGGAACCGGGGGCGTTGCATTGCATTAATTTCCTGGCCTGTCAGGACAGCTTGCATAAGAGAGCCCTTGGGTATTCTGTTCATGTTTTAATGAAAATTCAGCTCCAGGCCCAGTGAGCTACCCAGCAGAAACTACACCCAGGCAGCAGGCCGAGCTGGGGCAGAAGCGCCCTCCCCAAGCCAACAAGGGGGTGGGTGGAGGGGAGGCTTGGCACCTGCCCACCCAGACAGCATTAGCCTAGGACCTTCCAGCGCCAGGACGGGAGCCAGCGGGAGGCGCCCCAGTCCTAGACCAGAATAGCAGGGCGCCAAGGTGGGTCTGGCGGGGGGGGGGGGGGGGGCGATGGGCTCACCTTTCCCCGCAGAGCCACCGCGAACCTTGAGGGGTGGGGGCACTAGAGGAGAGCGGGGGCGGGGGCGGGTAATGGCAAGGTCAAGGGAGCGTGCGCGGGGCGGGGCGGCGCGGGGCGGGGACGGGAGTGAGGCGCGCACGGAAGCGTGGGCCAGAGGAGCCCGCACGTCGCGCACGTTCTGCCCGGCCAGCGCGTCCCTTACCCCGTTGGCGGCGGCGATGCGGACGATAAGCTGGATGGCCTCGGTCATGTAGAAGCGGCCGTCCCCGCCCACCACCAGTGTGGCCTCCTGCCTCAGCGCCGGATCCACCGTGGAGATGATGCTCTGGATGAAATTCTCCGCGTAGTTGGCGTTGCTCTGGAACACTTTCACCCGCTTCCGCAGCCCGCTCGTACCAGGCTTCTGGTCCGGGTACGCCTGCGTCTTCACTGTCACGATCTTCACCATGGTGGCGGTGGGCCGCGGGGAGACAGCGACTGTGGCTTCTGCTGCTGTGACCGCTGGCTGCAGGCGAGGGCGCAGGGTCCGCTGGGCCCTCCTCCTGGAAGCGACCGCCCAGGGCCCGCCCACGTCGCCGCCGAAGTCCGGCGGCCTGGGAAGGGGACAGGTCACGGGGTCGAGGGGGGCGGAGTCTCGCTGATGGACACCTGAGCCAGCAGTCTATATAAAGAAACAAGGTCTTTTAATTGAGGAGCAAGCTTAGTGTAGGGACAGGTCATAGTGCAAGGACGAAGAGTTCAGTTCTGTTCCCCGTATAGAGTACCCGTATAGAAACTCAAGAAACCGGTCTGAAGAACAGAAATGCCGTCCTCTGACATTTTTCCCCCTGCAAGGGCAGAATCAACCCCAAAGTTAAATTAGACTTTCTACTGTGGGCCACACTAGTTTATCAGTGATAGTGGGTATCCGAAGAACTGATTTGTTGTGTATAGTTTCTAAATTGTTAAAAAAAAAAAAAAAAAAAGTAAGAGTTTTATCTTTTCCCTGCTTATGCTTACAAAACTGAAAATTCTAATTTCATCAAAAATCCTGCCTCATGACAAGGAAGATCAACTCAGATTGGGTCCAGACAAACCAGGCTCTTGCCAGATTTACATGGTTTGACATCCATCAGGTTTGACAACTAGGAAATGGAAACTTTCAAGGTAGTCTAGATAATCATTTGTATAGACATATGGTGTTGTATGATTACCGTGACAACGCAATGATGGTGGGAACAGCAAGGGCTAAAGCATCCAAAAAGAATTTAATTATTGGGTAGGAGCAAGTTCCCAGCTGACATTTCACCCGCTGCCCCAAAGCAGGGCCTGGGGGCACACCCTCCACCTCTTATAATCCAACCACTCCCACCTCTGGAGGCCACTCTATTTCAGACCCCGGTCCACTAAGTCTTTTGAGTGGAATTAAGGGTGCACATTTGGGCAATGCCATAGTAATCTGAATGCATTGTTTGGTAGAAAGCAATGCAAGGCTTCCCATCAACCTGGGGGATAATCTCTGGCTTCTTTATGCGTACCCATTTGTTAGATGAAGAAGCAAGAGACCCAGAGGCGTCAATTGCATTATCAGCTGTCTTAGTACCACAATCCTACCCGATGGAAGGCCTTTCCACTAAAGGGAGATACTTTGTTCCACCCTGGCAGTCATAGGAGTTCCCCATCCAGTTGGCCAGGATAGCTCTGGGGTCATGTGGGTTTCCAAATCTTCCATCGCTGGGTGAAATGAACTTCACGAATACCAGGAGGAGCAGCATCACCCACATCTTTATTCCTGGGGGGGAGGGGAACAGAGGTACAGTTCTCATGGGTGGAGCACTCCCTGGAAAGTTTATTGTCATCATCCCCTTGTTGGGGTAAATATTTTAGGTCTCTCACTGGTACCCAAATGAATCTTTTTTTCTTCTAGAGGGAAGACACATACAAATCCTCTCCCTGCTGTGAGGAGGGGGTCTGGTCCTCTCCAAACCCCTGTCGATGGGTCCCTCCATCTAAACCAAATAGAATTGTAGGTAACAGATGAGGACCAATGTTTTTGAAAAGGAGACAGATATTTGTCTTCTTTAGAAAAATGTAAAGTATTTGGGGTAAATAATGTGTTTTTTAGCTGATCATGTGGTGGCAGGGATTCCCTCCTCCTTTGTTTTTGTAATTGAGACTTGAGAATTTGATTTTATCTTTCCACAGCTGCTTGCCCCTCACCCCAGGATTGTATGGGATGCCTGTGGAGTGTGAGGTTCTCTAAGTCTTAAGAAAGTCCAAAAAGGCCCTGCTTACAAAGCACAAGCCATTATCTTTCTTGATCTGATCAGGAAATCCAAGGGTAGCAAAGCATTGAAGCATATGACTAATAGCATGTTTAGCTTTTTCCTGGGCATGTGCCGATGCCCAGCAGGCACAGAAAAAGGTATCAACTGAGAGAAAAATATATTTTAATTTTCCAAATGGAGACTAGTGTGTAACATCAATTTTCCAAAGGTTATTAGGACAAAGCCCTCGAGGTTTGCCTCCAGTAGTTTGGAGGGGTGCGGTATCTGATGGAAAGGCTGGCAGGATTTATAATCTGTTTAAGGTCCTTGACTGGTACATGTGAATACTTGTGCTTAAGACCCCTCCAATTAACATGGGTTAGTAGGTGGAAGCATGTAGCTTCTGTAACAGTATTACACACTTAGGCATAGAAGCCATTTTATCCGCCAAATTATCCTTTAGAAAGAAATCCTGGTACAATTTGATAACTCCTGAGATGTTGAAGAAAAAATGGGGTTCATGACCTTTTAGGAGGCCAAACAAAGGGGTCAGTTCTTCAGTAGTTATGGAAATTCAGGGCCTCATCTAATTAATTTCCCCCAATATCTTTTGGAGCTGGGGCAAAGTATAAGAATCCTGAATGTGAAGTTGGGGTTTAACAGGAGAGACAGTATCAAGAAATAACGTGGAACCTAAAAATCTTAAAAGGAGGACTGGCCTGAATCTTTTCAGGAGCCACCTTAAAAGTATTGGCCTGTAAAGTGACAAGACTCTTGCAGTAAGATCTTGGAGGTCAGACAGGTTGGGGCAATCCAAAATAATATCATCCATAGCAATATAGAATAACATATTAGGATGACCAATCAAGGAAGAAAAATATTTAACATATACTATTGAACAAGAGGAGGGCCTGTTAGGATCAGGAGCCACATTATCAGGAAAAGCTCCAGGTGCCTCACCCTCCTTTTTATTTTATTTTTTTTTTTCCAGATATGCTTAGTCATGCTGTGCACCACATTCAGCATATGTAAAAAGATTAAAACCTTGGCCTTGGCCAGGCCCAGCTTTTATCTGGAATCAAAGTGTTAAAGGTAAATAAAAGTAGAGGCCACTGTTTAGATACAAAGTTCAATCACACATAGCCATGTATCCAAAGTGCACTCATCCCGATTACCCTCAACTGCTACTAGTTCCAGTTATAAACAGCACAGAATGTCCAAGTCATAATGAGTCAACAAAACCTACTAACTACAGACAGCTTACAGAGCTCTACTTGCCCTAAGAGGAATGCTAATGTATAGCAACACTGTGCAGATGGCCATATACTTGACTGTCGGCTAAAAGGTTCAAGCCTACTCCTGGGTTTGAAGAATGACCAAAACCTACCAATCCCTGAGCATGAAATCCCACCAATCCCTGGGCAGTTGACAGCTGCTGAGGAGGGTCAGTTTTCTTCTAGGATAGCTCTGATAGGTTGTCCACACCCACGTGGTCAGCCCAGCACCCAGTTCTGGTAGGCAACACTAATTGGACTGGAGGAAGGAAAGAAAACCTGGCATGTGAAGGGCCACACAGACAGAAATAAGATGGTTCTCAGCAGTGTAGACCAAGTGGGCTGATTTCATGCTTGCACAGACATTGAACATCAAAACCTAGATATTCTTACTCCATTCTTTGGCATCCAAGCTAACAGAATTTAATCATATCCCAAGGAAACACAGACTCAGTGAACACAATAGGTATAAAGGTGAACTCTGAAGGTAAGTGTGGTGGTACAGGTCTGTAACCAAAGCACTAAGAGACTGAGGCAGGAGTGTAACGTGTTTGAGGCCCACATGAGTTATATCATGAGTCTGAGGCCAGCCTAGGCTTCATAGAGACCCTACCCAAATATTTAAAACCTGGGAAAAAATTACATTCTCTGAAGGATTTGTATCACCCATAAAAATATGAATCTCTGCTACTCAAACATAATGAAGTTTGAAAACATTAAATTATAGAAAAGTTGTCGTTCTGTATATATAATGGCATACTACTTTCATCCATTTTCTGAATCATTTTGTCATGTGATTTTTTTATTAATTATATTTTAATTCCAATAAAATGGTGTAAACCACAAAATACATTTTATTCAGAATTACATATAGTATGGCCAGAAATAAAATAACCTAAGTTTAAAAATAAAATTGTATATACATTATTTTAGTCTAGTATTTTCGTTTTAAGATAAAATCTGAGAACTTCTTTTTAAGTATATATATATATATATATATATATATATATATATATATACTTTTAAAAGTTTTAAATATAATTACATCATTCCTCCCCTTCCTTCCCCCCCAAAGCCTTTCATGAACTTTCCCCAAAATCCCTCTCAAATTTATGGTCTCTTTTTCTTTGTTATTTGTACATACATGTATACATGCACATATATATTGAATATGTAATACATATTATACAATCTACTGAGACATTTAGTGGTGCTTGTATACATATGATTTCAGGGCTAACCACCTGTAATTAGAAAACGAATTTGGGGGCTTGTAAGGTGTCCTGGCAGGAGCCAGGGAATACCACAAAGTCACACTGCGCATCAAACCTCACCCAAGACATTTATTGAGAAGGAAAAATCCAGGAGGGTGGTTGCCGCTGCTCGAAAACAGCAGAGAACTGAACAGAAGGCAGAGCTATATAGATTTTTTTGGGGAGGTGGTTGGCCCTTTTTACATGAAGCATTCCATGATGGAAATTAGTAGGGTTTCTCATCCAGAGACTGGGCTTTTTACTCTGATGGGGGTGGGGGTGGGGCTTAGATCCAACAGGGAAGGGTAGATTGGGTGGAGGCCCTTTGAGGGAGGGGCCTGGCCACTCATGTGGCTTGAGAGGCTTACAAGGCTCACCCCTAGAAACCACTAATTCTCCCTCTCTTAACAGTCATGTGCCTGCTGTTCTTTGTCTAGGGTTGGGACTCAGTACAGTTCCCTGCTTCCCTGTTAGATGTCTATTGATGTTGTCATTGTTCAGGTCCTGTTTAGACAGCCATATTGTTGGTTGTCACGGTTGTAGTTTCCTGTCAGTGATTAGAAGAAAATCTCACAGAAGACTTTCTGGACCTCTGGTTTTCTTTCTACCTTCTCCTCTTCTTCTTCTCCTTCTCCTTCTCCTTCTCCTCCTCCTTCTTCTTTTTTGTTGTTGTTTTTGTTTGTTTGGGGTTTTTTTTTTTTGCTTTTTTTTTTGTTGTTGTTGTTTTTTGAGACAGGGTTTCTCTGTGGCTGGCCTCAAACTCACAGAGAT